AACCTCCACTCTTCCAGTTTGAAGCCATTCGCCCTTGTCCTATCACTCCGGACCCTTGTCCAAAGTCACTCTCCAACTCTCTTGTAGCCCCTTTAGGTACTGAAAGGCTGCAACGAATTCTTCCTGGAGCCTTCTCTTCTCCAGGCTGAACATCCCCAACTCCCTCAGCCTTTCTCCATAGGAGAGGTGTTCCATGTATCTCCAGGTAAATCTAGAGGAGACATTCAGTGTTAAGTCATGGACTCCTTCTAGAATATGTTCAGAGAAGAAGTTTGGAGGATCAACCATCCCTTCAAGCACCAGAGCATGGGAAATTCACCTCTTGGCTCCAGCAAGAAACTCCTCAATGCTGTGCTCCAGAAAGTAGACACTGCTACAAGGGACCAACATGCTCATAGACAGCTAAACTGCTTCCATTCATGCTCATCTATCTTATTTTTTGGGTTGAATCCCCCAACTTCCCATCCTTGGAAACATTCCAGGTCAGGTTGGATGGGGCTTTGAACAACCTCGGCTAGTGGGAGGTGTCCCTGCCCATCACAGAGGGTTGGAACTAGATGGTCTTTAAGATCCCTTCCAACACAATCCATTCCATGATTCTCTGATGCCATGAATGTGTTTGACCTCTCCAGAAGCTGGAAGAGGCTGTGTCTTATCCAAGGTTCCTAGGGACTCCAGTGTTGGCTGTCATGCCTTGGTCATTTAAACTCCCAGTCTCCAGAAAGTAGCCAAGCTGCTTGTTGGGAAAGGCCATGGGATGGGACTTGTTTCAGGAAGTGGGCACAGGGCTGTAGTGTGTCAGGAAGAGACTTACAGTGCATGAAGATGATATCTTGGACTGGAGAGGTCATGGAGCTGGTGACCCATGCAGAAACACCTTGGCTGGGAGATGTACAGCTGGATGAGCTCCTTTCTAGTGACTATGACTCAGGAGATTTGGAAAAGCCAAAATACATCACTGATGTGTCCCATATCCTCCTCCACCAACAACTGGACTTGACTTACATGAACAAGGTGGTTCATCCTGGATTTTCCTTTGGGGAAACCCCTTCCCTGCTTCCTGCAATTAGCAGCTCATTAATGCTTTGCATCCCAAGACTTTATGTACTCCTCTCTTTCACAATAGCAGACAGTGTCATTATCTTCTGACATCTCACTGACTTCATCCCAAATATGATGCTGGCCCTTGCCCCATGGCCATGGGTCCCCCAGGTGACTCATCTCCACCAGGTCAGTGGTTCTGTGCTATTTCAGTCTGTGGATCTGCAGATTCTTTGCAGCTCCAATAGTTCTTAAGGTGTGAGGGTGGAAAATGGGCCTCTTGACCAATCTTCTCCTTTTAATCCTCCACCACTGCTGTCCTGACTTTACAGCTCCTTGACTTCATGAGACCTGTTTCTCCCAGCCAGGGCTCTCTCAGGTCCATCTCCACACTCTGCTAACACAAGCATTGCCTTTTTTGTTGTACTTTACAGGGAAACACTTTTGACCCAGTGGTCTTGTCCATCCAGAATGTTTTCTGCCTTGGTATTCAGGTCTCTTCACACATGTGTTGCTTGGAAATATACTTGAGAGTTTCTTTAAGGCCTATTTGTATGGCACTTTCTCTGCTACCTTTGCCAAAGGATCTCCCAGTGGAAGGTGGGAACACTCAAGTTTCTATCCATAAAATAAATCATCTGGAGAAGGCAAACCGTAGCTTGGAATCTATAACTATATGGAGAGGCTATAACTGTTTAAGAGAGACATTAGGAGCTATAACTGTGTGGGAGAGATACTAAAGCTATAGATTCTGCCTTGCACACAGACACCTCATTGGTGTCAGCAGCTGAGAGAGCTTGAAGTGTTTTTACACATATTAGAATCATAGAATCATAGAATTTTAGGGGTCGGAATGGAGCCTAGAGATCACCTAGTCCCAACCCCCTGCCCTGGGCAGGGACACCTCCCACCAGAACAGGTTGCTCAAGGCTTCATTCAGCCTGGCTGTGAACACTGCCGGGGGTGGCACACCCACAACCTCCCTGGGCAAGCCAGTGTCTCCCCACCCTCACAGGAAAAATATCTAGCCTAAATTTCCTCTCTTATAATTTTTACCCATTGCTCCTTGTCCTGTCACTGCAGCTCCTAACCAAGGGTCCCTCTCCAGCTTCCCTGGAGCCCCTTCAGACCCTGGAAGGCTGTTATGATGTCTCCATACAACCTTTTCTTCTCCAGGCTGAACAGCCCCAACTCTCTCAGCCTGTTTTCATAGGGGACATGCTCCAGTCCTCTTACCAGGTTTGTAGCCTCCTCTGGACTTGCTCCAACAGTTCCATGTCCTACTTACATTCTATTTGAAGCTCATGAGGTTGTCATATTAGTTACACCAGTAGAAGTGGGTAAAACATGATGATTGTAACAGTGCCAGAGGTTGCTCTAAGCTGTTTCTTCATCATGTGAACCAAATCTACATGTGATAAGTAGAAACAGACAAGCAAGGAGAAATATCATGGAATCAAAATGGTTTGGGTTCGAAGGGACCTTAAAAATCATCTAGTTCCAACCCTTGCCATGGTCAGGGACACCTTCAACTAACCCAGGTTGCTCCAAGCCCCATCCATCCTGGCCTGGAACACTTCTAGGGATGGAACAGTCACAGCTTCTTGGGGCAACCTGTGTCTGTGTCTCATCACTCTTACAGGGAAGAATTTCTTTCCAATATCCAATCTAAATCTACCCTCTGTCAGCTTAAAGCCATTATCATGGATGAAGAGGAGAAATACCCATCACAAGGAAGGGAATAAAGGACTATGCCTGTCCTCATGACCTCACAAATCTGGAAACACCAGTCTCACCTTTCTCTTCAGCACTCCTAGCCCTGTTCTGAGAGCACCTCAGGGGGAGAGGAATCAGTCCTATGCCTTTCTTATTTACCTTTGTCTTTTACACACACTTGTCTCTTCCTCATCTCTGACTCACTCTATCTCACCTGGGTGTGGAAGTGTGTGTGTGCCTACAGGTGAGTGTTCACCTCTACCATCAAGGCACCCAGAGAGGAAAACGTCAGCTCTGATGTTCACTTTCTCCACTCGACCTGATAGATCTGCTAGACAAACCCACAGGACCTTCAGGAGAAACATTTCTTCAGCCTGGTGAAAGGAATCCATGTCCCAGGCTGTGGCACGGGGAATGGATCAAGGAGGAATCTGCCCATGGGGAATGGTGTTGGAAGATTCCACCATGGCCAAGATGGAGACTGGCAATCCCAGAATTGGATTACTTAACCAGGACACCATGAAGACATCTTCCTCTTCACTCCAATGGTTATTGCCCCACCATGGTGCTCTAGGTATCTGAATGTGCAATCCTGCTCATTATTCCAAGGATGGGAATGAGGATTCCAGCCTTGGGAAGGTGTATGAATGGTTGTATGTAGCAGGGAAGGTGAGCTTTGTCTCACATGGTGCACGGTCCCAGAGTTTCTAGGTCATGAGCAAGTTCCCCTTCAGGTGTGATTGCTCTTCACAGGTTTTCTTGGGGGATATACCCTCCAGAGTTTGCCATAAGCCAGAGGCCCTCAGGCTTTGGAGACACAGTTGCCACCTCTATCCTCTTCTGCTATGGCATCTCTGCTACCATCTCCTTTCAGGTGGTTGTGGAGAGTGAGAAGGTCACCCCTGAAGCTCCTTTTCCCCAGGCTAAACACCCCCAACTCCCTCAGCTGCTCCTCATATGACTTACTTTCCAGATTCTTCCCCAGCTCTGTTGCCCTTCTCTGGACATGCTCCAGCACCTCAATGTCTTTCTTGAAGTGAGGGCCCAGAATTGGACACAGGATTTGAGGTACCTCACCAGTGCCCAGTACAGAGGGACAATCACTGCCCTGGTCCTGCTGCCACATTATTTTTGATACAAGTTAGGATGCCTTTGGCCTTCTTGGTCAACTGCTCATATTCAGTTGTTGTTGACCAGCACTCCCTTTTCTTCTGGACAGCTTTTCAGCCATTCTGTTCCCAGCCTGGAGCACTGCAGGGGATTGTTGTGACCCAAGGGTAGGACTCAGCACTGAGACTTATTGAACAGCTCAGTGAACAGGTTGCCAAGGAGGTTTTAGATGCCCCAACACTAGCAGTGCTCAAGGCTGGGTTGGATAAAGCCTTGAGCAACCTGATCTGGTGGGAAGTGTCCGTGCTCAGGGCAGGGGGTTGGGACTAGATGTTCTCTAAGGTCCATTCCAACCCCTTAACATACTATCATACTGTGAACTTCATTGCCTTGGCCTATTGATCCAGCCTGCCCAGATCCCTCTGC